TGATAAAGAAAAATCTGTTCAAACCTGGGACAGAATCTCCTTCTGGAAAGAAATATGCTTTCCTGATAAAAATGCTTAAGCAATTTTCTGATAAATTATAATAAGATTAAATCCTGTTCTGGGAGACCAGCTTACTTCCTCAGCTGACTAACAGTCTGGTGTCTAATGATATTGGATCCAGTTTAGTAATAATTATCTAACCATTTCTTTACCTATAAAGTATTACTTACATAAGGGAAACACTAAATTGATTTGTTTAGGCCTCTTAAATTGTGGAAGTTAGTCCTGCTCTTTCCACATAAATAATGGTTACAAAAATATTTCAGTAGTAGAAATATGTTGATGGATAAAGAATAAAAATTAAAGTTATACTGTGATTTTAACTACTTCAAATACATAGGAAAAGAATACTAAAAATGATAAAGACTGTGTTAGGGTTATAAGTAATTTTTTCCCTTCTATTTTCAAAAATGTCTCTATACATAGATGTTTCTGTTATTTAAAATTAGCTTAAACATTAGTAACATTTCCTTAACATTTCTAAAGTCTTAAAATCACATATTGTTGGCAACGCATGCTTAAATCGCACATAAAAATTTGTTTGCTAATGTACTGCTGTTGGCAGCCACAGTAAATTTTTTAGCTAAGCAAATGTCAATTGTTGCTATAGCACTTCTAAAATTACAATAAAGCTACATAATAATTGACAGCGGTACCCTGGGTAAATGTGGAGAAAAGTCAAAGGTTGATTAAGAAAAGGAAAATGTCAACCTTTCCAGTCAGTGACCGGATTAGTGGTAATGACGGGACCTCAATCCAGTTTTAGATCTAACTTCTTGGAAGGCACAGTACCCGTGGGAAAGACACTAAATAATTAGGGTGAAATCTGGTAAATTCTTGCACAAGCCACTGAACAGGATAGGGGAAGACTGGGAGCAGGAGGAGGTAATCTAGATAAAGTAGATCCAAGAGCAAATGTTTTTTAGAAGTAAGGTCAGAGTGTGTTCAGAGAGCAGAATAATTTAAAACGTCTTGACTGTAGGTTATCTGTATCCTGTAGGACAGGGATAAGCAGGTCATCAGGGATTAGTGCAGGCGGAAGCCTTTGGCTTTATTTCCCATGCAGGGTAGAGAGACTTTGAAGACACCTTACCGAAAAGAATGACGTAAGATCTATGCTGGTTCTGGAGTCTGCATGGAATGAACTGACTGCAGGAAGGGGATCAGAGGACATAAACTGTGAGGTCTCTGTAATAAACCAGGAGCCTCATTACATAAAAACTATCTAAATTAGCACTTCCAGGATATGTTTTACTTTAAAACGATTCAACCACATTCTAACCAAGTTTTAGATGAATTTTGGTGTTCTCTAAGAGACCTGGCACATAATATTGAATCAGATTGCAGAGGGTTATTTTAACTCCAGGGCCAGATGCAGAGACATATGTAAAGGTACTGACGCCAACAAATATGAGGAGAAATGCAAATTCTCATGACGAAAAGGATGCGGAGTTCTCCAAGGCAGCAGATGACCGAGCGGCGTCGATTCTTGGGAGCGGTGGGCTGCTCCCACCAAGGCTGCGCAGGAGCTCAGCGGGGCGCAGACGGCCTGCGCCGAAGCGGCTGCGGCCCTCTGGGCAGCTGGGATGTTGCTCAACAATCATCAGAACTATAGAAGTGTTACAACAGCGAACAGGAGATAAGTTTATTTTTGTTTCCAAAAGGCTTTAGATTTTAAGTGTCTCGTCCCAGATTCAGGCCCAAAGCCGGTGACTCCACAGAGGAGACGGAGAGGGTGCCGGCGCCACCTTACCGACCGGCTCCAACCCGACACGTCTGGCGGTGGCTTCAACGTTTCACAAAAACTCAGTGACCAAATACTGTCCACCGCCGCGCCGGCAGCCCTTCAGTTCACCACACTCAGTTTCGGGTCCCGCGCTCCGGGCCCCTGGGCGCACACCCGGCGTTTACTTCCAGGCGCCGAGCGCGGGGCGCGGCCGAGCGCA